ATGAACAGCAGAAGGATGTGGACATATTAGCAGAGCTGTGTGCATGCTTGGGGCTGTGGGACGCAAGTGAATACTGCCATAATATGACTAAAATGCCTTGACAAAGATTACAGGAAGCCTGCTGTATATAGTTGAGATAATGCTTCCTTCACTACTGCAACCATTATTCAGAGAATATTCTGTGAGCTGTTTTAGGCTCTTTCCTTCCACCTCTGCAGGCCCAACATTATAGATTTTGGTTTGGTTTGGTTTGTAGAAAAATTCACAGGGGGAAACTGAAACTCTTTTGAAGTTGCTGAGCATTTGTATCTGGCCTTAGAGGGCTCAGATTTCACTCAAGGATTTCCTGAAATGATGTTCTCTAGTTTCTTCTGTAGCTTTGTTGTTTGTGCTCTCATCTCTCAGATCTGGATCAATACATGTCAGAAAATAGTGCCAAGGTACCACTTTATTGCTCTCTGGCAGGTCTCCTGCATCAATCAGATGTTCTGTTTAATACTGGCTTTTGGCTTAAACAGCACAGATGAATTTTTCTGGTGTTTGATATATGACTGACCAGTACATTTATGACCATTCACACTTTGTTGCATGTTTTCCTGAAGTTGCCTAGGTAAGGTAATGGCAGGACCAAGCACTACAATACCAGGAAAAGGCTGCATGGTGTATCTAATAAATGCAGAGGAAAGAAGAAATGCTTCTTGTTGGTCAGACTCCTTTCATGGAGCATACCAATAACAGCTAGAGCCCTGGGTGTCCTGCAGTGGGATCTGACAAGCCAAGGCTCTCTACTGCAGTGAGCCAGCTGCCCTGCCCTATGGACAGTCTTGTCTCTAGTCTCAAGGGAGCTAGTTAGGTTGGACTGCTTGGTACAGGAATGCTGGGAAGAATCTGATGATTCCACAGAAAATAATGGTCTGAAATAGGGCAGATAAAGAAAAAACTTGTGATAAAAACTTTGATGTTATAGTATGGCATCAACCGAAGATTGAATTGAAATATAGATGGATCTCTCTTTCTGGAAACCTATGTTTTCAGTAGCAGTTCTTAAAAACTCATGCTCTGGAAAGTCAAAGGGTGGCATTATCTGCAAGTGCTGCACTATCTGCTTCTTTGTATCAAACTAACAGAGGCATAATGAAGCTCTTTAGTTTCTTATCTACAAATATGAGATATGGTTTCCCGTCCCAATAAGACTTTCACTTCTATTTCCGAGGAGTAAAGATGAGTAAAATAGATAACATAACAACTGACTCAGAGCGTCTCCTGAATCTAAGCTGTCTCACCAGACGTTTAGAACACTGAAGCAAACTGACCATGAAATCAGGGATGGCTTGAATTAAAACTGGAAAATTCCAAATTCTACATCATCAGGGACCTGCATTATAAGATCTTAACTGATACACTGCAAAATGCAAATGGGAAGAGGTTCCTCTCTGGTCTGAATTTGATTCCTGGGCTGTCTCCTGCTTTTCTGAAGCAGCTGCAGTCTGTTTTGCCTTCACCCTTGCCTCTCTTCCCTTCTGAGCTGTTGTTTGTCTTGGTTTGTGATGGAAACAAGACAGAATGGTCTAAGTCCTTCTGTATAGGCTTTACAGCGTGATTTTGCAGGCAGCATGCAATGCAGATATGAATCACAAGTCCCTCTAAGATCTTGCTGAATTCAATCCCCCAGCTCTTTCATCTGGCTCAGAACAGGCTGCAGATTTTTTTTATTTTTTTTTTTAATCTAAGCAGTAGCCAATTTACTCAAGAGATGAGTATTTGCTGACTGTTGCTGCTATTCATATGCTCAGAACTGCAAAGCCTTTGGAAAACGAGGCTGGCTCGTGCTTATGTCTACAAACTGGATTTCAAATCTGGCTTGGATTCTTTTTTCCAGCTCTGCAAGTGACTGACATGTTCACTTCAGCGTAGTTTCCTCCTGAGACAAGCCGTGGGCTGTGCCCCAGTGCCAGGCAGTGGTTGCTGCATGTTCAGTCGTACACTGAAGGCACATTCTGCAGTACCCTGGAGATAGGGGTAAGCTGAGGACAGCAGCAATGATTCAGAGCTGCTTTGCATTTTGGTCTTGATAATAGTTGACTGCAAATAAAAATCTTCAGTATTATCTAAGATGCAAATCAGATCACACTTCAATAACACCCCTGTGTTATTAAGGTTATTTGAAAGAAAACACTAAAAAGTGTTTTTGCTTGGTTGAAATTTAAGTATGGCTGAGGTTGTCAGAGTTCTGTCCATAATTGTTCAATAAAAGGTTTCATACTAAAGAACACATCATTTAAATACAGAAAAGTCTGTGTTATGGCTGTAATCCTTCAGCACCTGGCATAGCAGGTGCTATGAGCATACTTCTGTTTCTCTCCCTTCCCCTTTGGTGGAGCCTCCTCACTAGCTGTCCTGCTGTCTGCAGCCTGTCTCAGCTCCCTTGGTTGGGCAGGGGTTGTTCTGGGGCTATGGCTATGCTGGGAACAAGAATGGTGCAGGCAGGTGGAGGACAGGATGGGCTTGTGTCATGGCAGTGCTCTGCTTATTTGAGGCGGTTGTATTTAGTGCATTATTTTTCTTCTTTGTTTGCTTATTTGTTTGGATGCAACATGGACTTTAACAAGGAAGAAGGGAAAACTGTATTTGAAAGTGGATTTCAATTTAAATTCTTTGAAATACAGAAGCCAGATGCAGCATGGCCTCTGCGGATAGCCTGACTAGCTAATATGCAAGAACATTTCTGATTTGAAAAGATCTTATTAGTTACTCCTGTAAGCAAAGCAGCTGGTGCGACCCAGGTATGTTGCACTTGTATTATTGCTGTGAGCCAATAGCTCAGCCTGGGGGAGAAGGTAACCTACTTACCTTACCCTCTGGAAGCAGTTACTGTGGGACTGCAGAAATTAGTATTTCTGTGACTCTTACTGATGCTATCTGAGAGCCTGAGGTATTAACCCACGGGACTGGGAGATGAAAGAACTGAACTGAGGACATGCCCTCACTGCCCATGTGAGATGGTCTTGGGCTCCTTAGCAGTTGTGGCTGGTATCATATGGATTCTTCCCATATGCATCTCCTTCCACCATAGGAGCAGGGGTATCCCTCCTGCAGTGGGCAGGGAGACAGAGGTCTGTGGAGAAAGGCAGCAGAAAACAAGGGGGCATCCATCCCCAAACACCGGTGCGCTGCTCGAGAAGAGGATGTGCTGCTCATGTCTCATCTCAGCTGGCGGATATTGAGGGCTGCTTGGTCTAGCTCTGGTTTAGTGCTCTGGTGTGTCCAGACCAGAGAGTTTGCATAATTCAGTGATGAGTTAAATAGAGGTTCTACAAAAATTGAAGAGAGCAGTGGGAAGGGGTCTAGGTTGGGTCAGGTATCCTGCACTAATAAATGATCTATGATACCAAAACTCAAAGAACAAGAAGTATTACAGGGCTTGCTGGAAGGAAAGGAAGCTGCTGTACTGCCAGAAGCAAGAATTTTGGGGAGCACAGTGTAAGGTATCAATACTGACCAACCCCACATCAAGTCAGGCTGGGGGCAGCACTTTTCACATCAAAGCTACTGTGTTCTTCCAGAGTAGCAATGGTCATGCAGAAAGCATTTCCAGGTGATTTACAGAGTTACTGCATTCAAGGCAGTCATCAAAAATACATAAGAAAGCAGAGTGCAGGAGGTAGATGGAGTGTGCCAAACCTCTGGCTGCCTGCGAGCAGAGGGTTCTGTTCATTATGTGGAACTCCATGTCACCAGGCACCAGAGATGCTGCAGATCATTGTGGCTTCTCCAGAAGCTGTTACCTGACCCATAAGAGAATTTTCACTTAATGAACCTATCTCGTCATCATACAGAGAGACAAGTGAACGCCGCTCTCTTCCCTTGCAGTGCTTGATTACAATAGGAATTGCATTGCTGAGATTTACTAGAGATGCGTTTTCACTGCATGCTAACTGTAAGTGAACTGTAAATACACCAGGCGCTGGCAATTTCCACTCATTGCCTGAAAATATCATTTCTGCAGCAGCACAGCTCTGCAGCTAACCTAATAAATACTTGTGCTGAGCAGGGCTCGTTATCTCCAGTGCAGCACTGCCCTGGCATAGCTGCACAGCTCCCCACTCCAAACAAGCCCCAGCTAAGCTAATTCTGGATGTCTGCACTGTCCTTCACGGTGTGGTGGAAACAGGCCCTGAGCAGTGCTGGCAGAGGAGTGGTGCATGCGTGCTGTGGTGCTCCTCTGCTCTATACTTAATGAGGAAGAGCTGGACTCCAAAGCAGCAGTTGCTTAACAGCTCCTCTTGAAAATTTGTCTCGGAGTTGGGTAATGTTGTGGTTGCCTCACTCCTGATTTTGGAGCAGCCAGACTTCAGTCTCTTCTGAAACAGCTTAATAACGTGATGTGCCTCTGAGCAAAATGTTGACTGGTATGTTCAGAACTCCTTTTTTCCTAAAAAGCAATTACTGATGATGTAGGTAACTACTAAATGGTGCTCCTCTGACACACAAGAGAAATGGATTTGTCTCCAAAATCTGGTTGCCCAAATAAACCTGCCTAAAACTTGCAGAAGATGTTGGGAAGTGAAGTAAAATAGCGTGCAGAAAATATCTGGGAATGCTTTAACTCAAGCTCTTCAAGATCTGGAAGATAAAGAGAAGTGAATCTGAAAAAATAGAGAAAGATATTTAAATGAGGAGAAAGATGAATGTCCATGTCCTGTCAGAGCCAGGTTTATGAAGGTTCAGGTCTGTTTGTATCTTAATATAGGAAAATGCTTTATATGGCAAGGACTAGATGAGCCTGTTTTGGAGAAGTAATCCCAGTCAGCTGTGCTGACAAGGTGCCCACTGCTGTCACTCTATAAAGAGTCACAATTTGTCTCACAAAAATTACAAAAATATTTCTTGTCCTTAAGAGAAGTTGCCTTGAGGAAAGGAGATGGAGGGATGCGTTAGGGCAAGGCTGCATGTTTCTTTCCTGCTAATAATTCCAAATGTGACTTTTTTTCTTACTGTAGTACTGGATAAATGAATACACCTCCACCTTGGGCATTGGTGTCTTCCATTCTGGCATTGAGATCTACGGCAGAGGTATGAAGTATTTCCTTTTCATTATCTTCAGTACATGGGGAAAAAAAACCAGCGTGGCTGGTCTGATCTGGAAAAAAATCCAAAATTTATAGTTTTTGGCAAGAATGTTTTGAGCAGTGAAAAACTCGACCAGTTCTGTTTTAATTTGTTGGGTAGTCCAGCTAGAACTTCTGCAGTTCTGCCATGAACCAAGTAGCCCTTCTGATCTTTAGTGTGTAATTGCAGACTCTATAGCTTGTGCAGGCATGTAGCAGAATAGCAGGAAGGACCAGCAGTGTAGGAAAGTCTGGGGTGGGGGAAGAGAGATGGATCAGTAGCTGTATTGAAACCAATATAAGGAAAGTTTGTGCTAATTCTGTGTCAGAGTAAACCAGCTTTGTGTTAGTTTTATCAGCGTCTATGGTCTGTAAGTTTTGAAATAACCAAGTGGTTTGAAGCTGAGTAGAGCATCCAAGGGATGTGGTCAAGGTGTCTGTGAGAAGAGATGCAGCAAAGTGAAGCTAAAGGACAGGACAGCATCACGGACTTTCCGTTTCCCCCTTCAAACAGCGTTAAATGGGACTGACTGAAATTATCTTACTCATGGTATTTTTAGCTAGTGCCATGTAGCAGATAAAATGCCGGGGGTGCTGTGCTCTGTCTCAAGCACAGTAGCTTTCATAGGCCATGTGAGATGGCCCATATAACATGGAGGGGCCTCCAGGCTCAACCCACATGCTAAGGCAGCAGAATGTAATTAGCTTGGGTTTTTTTTCCAGCAAAGAATTCCTCATAGCTGCCTGCAAATCCCTCTGGAAGAAGAGGACAGATTTCTTTCTACCTAGGAAAGGCTTCTCCCAGCTCAGTATCACTGCTGACAGCCTCTCATAGTATTTCCAGATGCCTCTGCCACTCAACTTTGTACTGACAGGAAGCCATGTGGACAGGCACAAAGAGGTGGACCCAGCGATCTTTTCTGGCACTGAGAAGTAGATTAGCAGTGCTAGGTACTAATTAGCAGTGCAACCAGCAGTATTAGCACTGATGGAACCTGTTCTGGATCTGAGGCTTTGAGGGTATCCTCAGGCTGCTAGGTAACTGGGCAGAGAAAATGTCTTTCAGAGGCTGACTGAAGCTGATTTTGGCAATGGCCCAGCTGCTGGTGCTGATGCTGAGCTTTAAAGACTGCTGCCATCCTGACACAGAGTTCATTCGATTACTCACAGTCTGTCTGTTTTCTTTCCTTGTCAGAGTTTGCCTATGGAGGGCATCCCTACCCTTTCAGTGGGATTTTCGAGATCACACCTGGCAGTGTGGTAGAGCTTGGCGAGACCTTTAAATTCAAGTAAGGGCCCTTTTCTACATTTTCTTTCCCTGCTAGTAGCTGTCTCTGTAGGGAGAGCAGGGAGTCCTTTCCCCCTTCTCTCTCATTAGCACTCTCACTGCCTCCTTTACACAAACCTTGTTCAAATGGAGCTCTGCAGGGGTTCTTGATGGCTGATAAAACTTACACCAAATGAGGAGTGGTGCTGAAGTGTGTTTAGAAGGGTTTAAAAGTATAGTTATAAATCAGTGTAGTTCTCTCTTCCCATTTTCTTTGCTTTCCGTGCTCCTGGTTTTACCTATCAGCAAGAATGGAAATAACTGTGTGATACAGAGCCAGTGCATGGGGAAATAAAAAACTACTCTTTTTATGAGCATCACCTTGTTATGAATATTGCAGAAGTCATCTCTTGTGTTTATACTTACGCTGTCACAAAAGACAGGCCAGCTTACTAGAGGAGTCTGAGAGGATACTTCATTAAGGGGTTGTTCAAGGTGCTCAGGCTTTGGGGCTGTGGTTCAAGGAACTGCCCTCAGAAGATGGGACTTGACTTTCACAGGCTATGGGTTTACACTGGTGGTGCTGCAGACTTTAGAAGAACAAGCACTATTGAGTGAATACTGAGAGAAGCAATATGTTCCCACATAAAGCTCTGTCTGCTCCTTTGTGGCCCATACCATGGAAAACGTCTCTATGACGGGAAAACTGTCTCCACTGTCCTACTGTGATTTTCTACTGAGCAGCTATGGATTTAGGGGGAAACAAGCAGACCCCAAGAACTGAGATGTCCCTGGTGGTGAGCAGAAGGCTCTGGGGACTGCTTCTGTGCTGTAATCTGCTTTACGGATAAACTTGAGGATATTAGCATGCCATTTTTTAAAGTAAGAATCTGTCTGATAGCCCCAGATATGCATGTTGATGACTTACACCTGGCCTTCTTGCCATTGCCTTATCGTTTCCTTTTTCCTGGTGACATATCACTCTCTTCATTCAAGCTTTCCATGTTTCCTGTTGTGCTTTGCTTTTACTAGAGAATCCATCGCACTAGGCACCACAGACTTCACAGAAGAGGATGTGGATAAAATTATGGAAGAGCTGGGCAAAGAATACAAAGGCAACGCATACCACCTGATGCACAAGAACTGTAATCATTTCTCTGCTGCTTTGGCTGAGGTGGGCACAGCTGTTTTCTTTCTCTCTCTTTTTTGTTTTTTGCTGTTTCAGATCTGTAGTAGTGCTTACAGAAGGGGAAACAGAACCAGACCATCCTGCCAAGTCAGAGCCAAGAGTCAAATCTCTTGTCTCAGCCCTTAATGTTTTTGACAGCCTGTTGATGTTCAAAAAGAAAGGGTTAGGAGGTAGAGATGCAGCAGGTTTATTACTGGTTTGGTTTAAACTTCCTGTAAGACTTGGACTTCCTGCATCGAAGCTCATTGAATAGGCTGCAGAGCAGAAATTGCAAAGACAAACCTGGCCAGCACTCAAACTTCTAACATTTTAATAGCAAGAGCATAAACAACCCTCCGTGATCTGAAAATGAATAAACATGGCTTAAGTGTTCTGCTAACAAAATATTGCAGTATTCAAGAAGCGAGTGTTCTATTTTTTCTTTAGCGTGCACTATTTAGAATGATTTTTTTTTTAAGTATTGACTTTTTTCTCATACTTCTTTGATGATTATACATTTCCACTTTGCCAAAAATACTGAATTGTAGGAGAGCTGTTATTTCTGCTCAGAGAGAACTGAAGCATGGAAAAGTGCAAATTTATCCTGAATTTCTGTTAATTTGGGATATTCCATTTTTCAATTGACCAAGATCCTACAATTCTGAGGGAAAGTTGCATTTCCTCCATTCCCCGCTGAGATGTTCAAAGTTGATGTTTCATTAAGGCTTCAGCACTTGTGTAAATCTGAATTCCGGATCTTGACCTGTGCCAGAAAAGAAATAAGAAACAGAAAGTGCAATTGACCTTCTATCTAAAACCAAGACCATGTTTCTGTGTTTTCTGCAGGAATTGTATGGCAAATACAAGGATAGAAACATTTTTAATGAGTTCAACTACTTTAACTGCAAAACTTTCACTTCATTTTCTGGTGTCCCCATCCTCAGTCACTGCAAATCTTTCACCCTTCCTCATTATACAGAACAAGAGTCCAATAGTTTCTTTTGCTACAAGTGACCATTTCCAAACAAGGCCCACCATGGATCCTAAGTGAGATGAGTCTGTAAAAGAAAAAAAGCCACCACCATCAACAACAAAACATGCATGATTTTTTTTTTGTTTTGTTTTGAAGAAAACCTCTAATGAATCTGAGAACCAGCAATTAATTTGTGAGGGACTTGCATACACTCTTAGGAAAACTAGTTCTTAATTGATTTCACCTTTGCTAATTATTGGAAGGGAAAATGACATGAGCCCATTCAGTAAATGCTGTCATGTTAAAATAAGCAAGGAGAAAATGTCTCGGTACAGAATGAGTTTCAAGCAGTAGAGTGTCTGAACTACTGTTTTGGAATCAAATCATTAAATTACCACAGAAAGCTTACAGATTATTAAAACAAAATGCAAACTTAAATATTTTGAAGGAAACCTAACAGAAAGCTGTACGATTATTAGTGAAAGCTAAAGAAAGCTTTACTTGCAGCAGTGAAATAAGGCCATTGCTTATTATATACTTTGACATGTAAAAACTCTGTCTCATGTCCAAGCCATAAGCTCAAAGCCCTTTTGCCTTGATTCTGCTGGAACACATCAGCAAACTTTTTACTGCCCTTTCCTTACCCAACCTTTGAAATGTAAGTCAAACAAGACAGAGGTTAATAGAAAACTAATAGTATATTTTAAGTTTAAGATTTGTAGTAAAGGTGAAGTAAACCTTCAGTGAACACCTTATCAGGAATGGAATGTAGGGTTAGGTTGTCCTACATTCACTTTCTTAACAGATTAAGCAGACCCATATGCATGGACTTGTTGCTGCTCCTTAACACACCCGGATAATAAAATAAAAGCCTAAATAGCTACTTCTGACACTTCTGCTCTCATCCTCTTCATTACTCATATGGGTAAATCAAGGTGGGAAATCCATCTAAAATATTAACAGCATGATCTAACCACCACAGAACTCAAAAGGTCAATTTAATAAATCCTTCAGAGCCAAGCAGGATTATTTTGCTGCTCTTCACATAAGATTGTGCTCATTACCCTTGTCTAAACTATTAAAAATGCAAAAATAGAGGAGGTATACTTCAGGTCGAGGAGTAGGAGGCCCTGGATGGTCTCTAGCGTCAAGATAAAGAAAAAGGGGCCTAAAAATCTTAAATAGCCAGTGGTAAGACAATAAGAAGTCAAAGCCATTCAATGTGTCTCAGTCAGCAAAACTAGAACTACATGTGACTACCTTATGACAGATGTCTCCATCCTTTTTTGTAAGTGCACTAATTTGACAATTACTCTGTTTTAGAGCTAGGTGTGAGAGAAGTAGCATAGCTTAGTTTGGGACAGTTCTGACCACATGGTTGAAGACTGCTTGAAATCTGATGAGGCAGAACCTCTCTAACTAAAAGCAAGTTTCTATTCTCATTTCTCAACAGATGAATGCTAGCTTTACTTTGCAGCCTTAGTGCTTTCTTTTGTTTTTGTAGTACCATTAAAAAAAACTGCACAACAAAACAAAAAACCAACCAGCTACATGTAGAGTTCCAAGGCAGAACCTTCAGCTGGTAAAGGTGAGCAGAATGCATTAACTGCGCGACACGTGGCTCTCAAGACTATGGAAATATGTCATCACAAAATGTAGAAAAGAGAACTGAGATCTGTGCTCTAAACCAATGCTGAGACTAGTCTTGGTGTTCGTATTGTCCTTTCATGCTCTCCTTCTGTGCAGGAGTAATAATAATACTAATTAGCATTTATTTATGCACAGTTACATTAAGCGGCAGTTAAAAGCAGAAAATGGGAACAAGTATTCAGAGAATTAAAAGAAAGGCTTTGTTTGGCAGAATAAATGTGCCTTGGGCATAAGCAGTGTGGTGAGTTCAGGAGAAGATTGTTCTGAGCCTCCTGCCTAATGCCAGGCAAGTCACATCCTTGCTTTGTGCATGAGTATCCTATCTTGTATGCTGGATTACTTCCTTCCTTTGAAAAGAACTTTGAAATCTTTTGATGAAAGCTGCCTTATCTGCCATGGTGAATTAGCTGGCTTGTGGCTTGTACTGCTCTGTATCAGCAAGCGAAGTGGGAGCTGGGACTCGATAGCTGTGTGGTGATCACAGAGTTAGAGAATTGCTCAGGTTGGAAAAGATCATAAAGATAATTGAGTCCAATCACGACTTCACTGTACTACCCTACGTCTAGCAACCCTCTGCTAAATCATGTCCCTGAGCACCACATCCAAATGGTTTTTAAACACCTCCAGGGATGGTGTCTCAACCACCTCCCTGAGCAGCCTATTCCAGTGCTTAACAACCCTTTTTGTAAAGAAGTGGTTTTTGATATTTAACCTAATCCTGATGTGTGAGTTAATGAGTTCACACAGATATATCCGGCAGGCCTTAGGACTTGGCTGTATGGCTATGTACTTGATGGCCATGTTTGGTCTTCCTGATGTCCTCACTTGGCTGTGGACTTGCTAATTAGTATCCATACAGACCTTGCCCTGGTGGCTGGTCTGCAGACTGGGAGGATCCCATCTGGTTACCTGGACTGAAGGAGCTGCAGCTGAAGCCTTGATTCTGCAGAAAAGATGGAAGGGAAGGCATAATGCTGCATTTTCTGGCAGCTTTCATGGAGAGTGAATAACTGAACATGTATGACCAGGGTTCTTCTCCTGTGGATTTTTTGAGAAACGCTTAATCATTAGGGAATTTTAGGGTATTTGAGAAATAAAGAACTGCCTGATAGATGTAAATCTCTGCCTATTAAGTGCTGCAGACTGTCTTCAGTTCTGAATGAAGTTCTGCTGTAATGCAGTGCAGAACTTCTTAGTGAGCAGCAGGCAGTCATGTAGGAGAAACTAGAAGCACTTCCTGAGCGCATGCCCCACTTCAATTTCAGGCACCTGACACACCATCACTGGATACCATTTTGTGGTTTTCCTTCATCCTCACAATCTGTCAGCGAGGGAAGGTGAGGGAGCTCGATCTAATTAGTGAAAGTCTAGTTAGTGTTGTCTCAGCCACTCTGACTGCTATATGGTCTTGTGGTACCTGTTTTTATAAAACCACTTAAGCAAATTAGTTGTGGGTTACAGTAAAGAGGTTCATCAAACTGGGATTAGGAATTTGTGTACAAGGAACTGGTTCATTTCAAGCTGCTTGTGTTGACAGTGACCAAAATCAAATAGTATCAGCATCATGCTATCTGAGAAACTCATCAGGAGGACGGGCAATCCTGGGGGGCTTATGCCTGCAGTTTCTTCAGAGGAAAATCACTTGTACCACCAGTATCAGAGCCCAAGATTCCTGCATTGTTCTGAGCTTCCATGCCTTGCTGTCTGTTGGTGTTGCAGGTGCTTCAGGGAGGGGATGCTGCAGGCACGCAGCAAAGATTTTAGCATGCTGATAATGTTGTGTATGTGGATTAAGTCAGGACGACTTCAATATTGGGTAAAGTCCTTCTGTTTGATCATCTGCTGGTAAGTCACTGTGTTTCTGACAATCCCAACTGTACATGCAAATGGCCCTCCAAGGAACAGCAAAATATTTATATTCTTTATGAGTTGCCCTGCCTGACGAAAGAGGTTATTAAAACTCTCACAGATGGAAAAAAAAAAAAAAAAAAAAAGACTACTAAATATTAGAAAAACCCTTTAAAATAAAAAAGACAAAAATAATTAGATCTTTCCATAACACGATTTATTGAATTTCCTGGTTTTCAGAACAAGGACATGATATAGCAAAAGGATAGAAGTTGTAAATTGCTGTAAAGCAAACATAAAGGAAGAAGAAGGCCTGTCAGCCTGATCTCAGTACCAGGGAAGGTTATGGAGCAAATCATCTTGGATGAGATTGCACAGCATGTACGCAGTGTCCAGGGGATCAGGCCCAGCCAGCACGGGTTCGTGAAAGGCCGGTCGTGCTTGACCAACCTCATCTCTTTCTACGACTGGGTGACTAGTCTGATAGATGAGGGGAAGGGCTGTTGATGTAGTCTTCCTAGACTTCAGCAAAGCC